ATGGGGCAAGTGGACACACCTCTACGCAGGATGTGTGAACAGGAAGATGAGACTGTCAGGCATGCCCTGTGCGAGTGCCCGGAGTTATCGTCAATAAGAGAGTGTGTGTTCGGCGAGTCTTGGCCTACACCTGCTGATATAAAGGAGATGTCTCCAAGCGACCTGTCCACCTTCCTGGAAAGGACAGGATGGACGATGACCTAGGAGGACAACTCCTCGGACGGATGTACAATGGGTCACATGTGGCCTAAGTGCGTGGGCTTACACTCACCCTCCCTACTCTACAGATACAGATACAGAATGATAAGATTAATTCAGTCTTTTCTAGCTGACAGGCGATGCCGTTGCAGCGTAGGAGACGAAATATCAATAGTTCGACTACTGGAAGCAGGAGTCCCGCAAGGAGCAGTCCTTTTGCCACATCTTTTCTCCGTATATACAGCGGACGTGCCCAAGCCAGAGAACAACTTTAAGAAGTTGGCGCTCTACGCGGACGACACGGCCCTGCTGGCGAGATCCACGAGCCAAGTACATGTCACAAGGTACTTGCAACAACAGGCGAACATATTAGAGGAGTGGGCCAACCTTCAACGGACAAGAGATTCCGTGGACCAACAAAGCGACATACCTGGGGGTCACCTTAGACAGGAGATTGACATTTCAGTCTCATGTACGGCAGAGAATCGGAATGGCCAGACACGCCAGACAACGGCTGGCACCAATCATAGGACGCAGAAGCAACATGGGGTTGAAAGTGAAGTTGCTGATGATCAAAACCGTTCTCATGCCCATAATACTGTACGCATGCACAGACATACAGGAAGAGGATACAGTCGTTCATGAACGCGAGCGTAAGGGCCGCCGTGAACGCACCGTACTACATCCCCAATAGATTTATTTACAGAGATTTAGACCTGGACACGCAATATGTGGACGCGTATATGACAGAACACACAGAAAGAGTGTTCGATAGAATTAGATCACACAACAACCCAGCGCTACGCGATCTACACGATGCATTGAACATGGATGACCCCAGGTTCCGAGAAAGTGACAAACACCCAAGGCCGACTAAACAGAATCTACGACCACCAACAAGAGTCGCCGATAGGCGACGTCGGTAGGCATATCAATCAGACTTTCTTTCAGCAAGTTCACCGCAGAACAACTCGACCGCGATTCAATTATCCTTAGATTCACTTAGGAACGCTCGACGCTAAATAACAATAGCCGCCGGTTAGTTTTTGGGGGCCCCCATGCAAAAATTCAGTTAGGAATAGTCATGGCAAAACATTTTCACCGATCGCGAAAGAATAGCATCCAAAGGCTGACTTTCGACCAAAAGAGGTCAGATGTCAATCTTGCTGAAGTGCCCATCAGTAAGTTGAGGACCGCTCGGAGAGCGGGGTGGATAGAGTGGGGTAGTAGATTCTCCTCGCTAACTAGCTGAGGGGGAAGATTCTACTTCAGGGCACTCAACCCGGGAGGGGGCATGAGGGGGCCAGTCAAATACTCGTTACTCAGACTTCGGTATACAGATTCAATTTAATGCCACAAAAATTGTGTCATCGATTATATCCAAAAATATAATTGTCTCCGAATGAGATATAATAATTTAAGGATATACAATTTCGCGTTCCGGTTCGATACATATAGTTCTATTTTGTTCAAGTATCGGTACTGAGTTGAACCTCATACGTAATAAACTGTAAAAGCCAGTATTCCCAAAAAATCAACGTTTGGTGTGGGATATTGAATGAACGAATTATTGGTCCTTTCTTTTTTGGGGAAAACATTAATGCGCAGAGGTTTCTGGAATTTTTAAACACAGAGTTTTGGGGTGCTATTCACGAGCTGCCAATCAATGAACGATCAAATTCAATTGTCCAGTTAGATGGGTGTTCAGTTCATTATGCCAAAGCTGTGAGGCAATGGCTTAACGAACATTTTCCAAACCGATGGATAGGCCGTGGTAGTCCGTTTATAGAGTGGCCACCCAGATCTCCAGACCTCACAGTTTCGGACTTTTTTCTCTGGGGACTTCTCACACAAAACCAGAACTACGGAGACTGCAACTCATATTTGGGAGGCAAGAATGACCTAAGTCCATTGACCGCACTAAAAAAGAAGAAGGTGGATCAAAAAAGAAGTAGAATGGTGATCTTTCGTTGCTAGGCCTATTCTCCTTCCGAGTTCATGAACGAATAACAGAGACTCCGAGTCATAAACACGAAAAGTTTCAACCGCTACTGGATGGAACAGATAGTTGTTACCAAGATTTTGGTATTTTTTTCTTTTCAATTTCTCGCCAGACAATGCTGCAGTTCCAGCAGACTTGGAACTTTCGGCTAGATGGGAAGCCGCGACCGTTTTCGGGTTTGACCCTATTTTCAAGTATAAAATCTACCAATGGTATTTAGACAAAAGTGTTTATTCATTTCATTCAACTGATCATGAATTACCATGAAGTAAACAAGTCATCAATCACACATATTCTATCAACTTCGATATATTCCACCGGAAAAGTTATGTACTTTAGGAATTCGTGGAATATTTTTGACCTGGATATTGTCATATATAAGGTACAGAAGGGTATATGTTAGATGGGATGGTGTTGATTCGGACATGTTTGACACTTCACTTACAGTTCCCCAGGGATATATTTTGTAGCCGTTAATATTTCTGCTATACATTAATGACCTGCCAGAGTATATTGAAACATCTTGTACTTTACACATTGTACTTTATGGAGATGACACATCGATTTCTGATGTCCTGAGAAGCTCGAAGAAAGACTGAATTTTATCAGCAATAATTTTACGACATGGTGTCATGATGATGAGCTTGTCATTGATGCAGAAAAATGAATATAAATTGAATTCTTTGGAAAAAAAAATTAATAATCATAAACAGGTTTTAGTCAATTATGTTACAATTCTCCCAAGTGAAACAACCAAATTTTTGAGTGTTCACAGTGGCACCAATTTATCTTGTGGATTTTACTGAAACCATGTGGTTGTAAAACTCAATAGCAGTTTTTAGGCACTATTGCAACTACGTCAAGTTTTGGATGTAAAATCTTTGATTAACGTGTATTATTCTATTGCAAATGTCTGTTGTCAAACAAGATTTGTTTTGGCGTCTACATTTTACTGGCGGGTAGAATACCTACTCGTACGAAGTTCACAGCGTCTGTTTTCTCCTCGAAAAATTATTTTCATTCAATGAAATTTCTATTCATGGCTGAAAACAGTTCTCATGCTTTCAGTCAGTACATCCACCAGAGTAAAACAAAATACATAATTTTTGGTTGTAAACTTAGATTAGTTTGGTAGAGTTCGTCTCTCTGTACAGAATACTACGAAGTATACGGGTGTATTATATTTCATCTTTGAGGGGACTCACTCTGAATAAACAGATGAATATTATATTTCCATTCAAGAGTTTTTCGTTCATCTTCTCTCTAGACAGATTGGAATTGAGATATTCAACGGAAAACTAACTTACTGTCACACATGTCCCCTCAAAAATGAAGTTGAATACACCCGTATGCTTTGTAGTATTCTGTTCAGAGAAATATGTGCATACAGGGTGTAACATAAGTACGTTGAAATATTCCTGAGTTAAAGTATTCCTGAGACAATTGTGAGAAAAAAAAATCTATACAAACATAAGTCCGGAAATGCTTCGTTTCGGAGACACAAGGTGTTGAAATTTATTTGTTTGTTCGTTTTTTTTGAAATAACTTCTGCAAAAAATAAGCTATTTGTACAAAATTTGGTACCTGGAGTTTTTTTGAAGTAATAAATCATGATTTTGTATTGATTTTCTTGTAACATCTACAGAGCGTTGCGTACGCTGTCATTATTTATTTCAATTCGCCTCAACTTTTTGCCAGTAAACTTTTGGTACTTTTCATTAAAAAAACAAATTCCCACATCTTTTCCAAGTAGAAATCAACAACGCTAGAGGTGATTGTTTTCGAGATATTTCACAATTTTTCATATCAATGTAATAACTCCTAGGGCGCTAAGTGAAGTTGCTGAGAACATTACAAAAACTGAGTATGTGGTGGATCTCGCCGGAATAAACAACTTTTCACTTCAAAATGTTCATCAAAAAATCCTTATTTTTGAGATACAAATTGCAATTTGCAATTTTTATTATTTTAATCAAACATTTAATAAAAAAAGTTATTTATTTTGACAAAATCCACCACATACTTATTTTTTGTAATGTTCTCAGTAATTCAACTCAGCGCCCTTGATACTAAGTAATATGCATCGATATAGAAAATTATGAATATTTCGAAAACGATCACCTCCTGCGTTGTTGAGGAAGTGTCCATTTTTTATTTGAAGTAAGTGTAAGAATTGTTTTTTTTTTATGAACAGTACCAAAAGTTCACTGTAAAAAAAGTTAGGTGGATTTGAAATGAATAATGACAGCGTACATGGAAATTAATACGAAATTATTATTTCCCACGCCAAAAAAACCTGAGTACCAAATTTCGTGCAGATGACTTATTTTTTGCTGAATTCATTGTTTTAAAACGAGCAAAAAATTAATTACACCACCCTGTATTTCTGGAGCATTTCCGGGCACAAGTTAATGTAAACTATTTTTCTTACAATTGTCTCAAGAATATGTCACTCGAATATTTTACCGTACTTATGTTACACCCTGTATATTAGACAAAAGTTTACCACTTCGAGAAACTGAAATTATCTTTTTTCAGATGGTGAATATCAGTGGTTATTTTTGAAATATTCGCCAAAAACTGCAATTGTCGAATTTTGTCTCCATATCGATTTTTTTAAAATAAGCTTAAAACAATAACCAACAAAAAAAAATAGTATGATTGTGAAAAAAGCGACGGGCGCTTGATATACAAAAAATATGACACAAAGCGTCCACACTTTTTTCACAATAATAATAGTATTTATCGTTCGTTAATAAAATCAGACCAAATCGATCCTAATTCTCTTTCTGATACTCACCTAAAAAGACTTTGCGGCCTCAAAGGCGACGGCAGCCCGACGAGGGTGGGATGCAGTGGCGTCGATTCGAGCGCCTGCCACAATTCAGGACGTCGCAACGCCGTCGCGGACGCCTGGTCTGCCAGGATGGTGAAAGTGTGCCAATGTGCATGAAGCAGGAGGCCTCGCAGGGCTTGAACAAGTTCGCGGCCCGTCGGCGCCAAGTGCACTTCTAGCGGACTGGTTTCCTGCAAAAAAAACAGACGATCTCTGAGTTATGAGGGATTAAAAATTATCTACATTGTTCTGCACTTTACGACGTTAATGAAGATGTAGGCGGGTCGGATCGATTTTTCTGATGGTTTTCAGAGAATTCATTCATTCGTGAGGATTATTTTACGGAACAAACCGAAAGTTAGGATTGAAGACGCCAACGATGAAATAATTCAATTCAATCCATTTATTGGTCTTCAGGACCATGATAGTATACAGGGATTTTCATGATGAGCGTTAATTAGCCGTTTCTGACAAACTATTCAACGGATCAACCTAAAAATTCCACAGTATGCATAAGTCAATATGACCTACACGCCTGAAATATTTTAGAGGAAGCGGCGTTGTCGCTTCTACTATAAAGTAGCGGCTTCTTTGATTTTTCAAATGGAACACCCCGTATAAAATATCATATTATGATTCATTATCACTTTGTCAACAAATTCATATACTATTTCCCTATACCTATCTATTACCGTTTAGAAGATATAAATTAATTTG